GTTCGGAAAGCACGCCTTTCGGGCTGTGCAGTATTTGCAGCATTAAAGATTTTGTTTATGCGGTGGGCGTTCGCTGGGCCGCCTCCGACCTGTTCTTCAACCTACCACAGGTGACAATGACTTCTAAGGCGTTTTTATTTGAAAGCAGGTGACTCAAAAAAGCTATCGCTGCAAAACGCCAGTCTCTGCCTTATCCACAGTTTGACCGCCTCCACACGAGAAACAATACTTTCCATCCGAGCCACATTTTCCAAATGTCAGAGTCCACTTATTTATGTGCTCTGTGGCGAATGTCTGATAGAACTTTTCGGGTCGTCACTATATATGCTCCTGTGCCATCTTTTGCCATCTTTATGCGCAGCTTAGGGCCGCTATAAGTTTACCCCAAGGAACCACTTGCAGCTGCCTTCCGTGGTTTGGATCTGTTAAAGACGTCAGTCATGATGTCAGTCGCCATCAATGCGAATTTTAGGTCAGTTGTATTTGTCGCTATCTTCCATACTACTGCTGCTTCGACCGTGATTCATCGCAACCGTCCTTAGAAAACCATTTCAGAATGGGTTTTGATGGGGATTTTGCTTAATCCTGTGAACGCTTATGGTTCACGCATTCTCAGCATGTCATATATGGCCTGGTTGCTGGGTTTTCTATGCTGGCGTCAGTTCGTCTGCCTTTTGCACTTCTAGTTTCCTTTTATTCCACTTTTGTGTCCTTTATTCAAACCACCAGAGTAGTCAGTAGGTCATTTTTGCTCTGCCATCTTCCATCAGGTTACCAAATGACACCTTCTACAATGGTGGCCGCATTGTATGCTCATTTAAACCTCTAAAGGACGTCACGACACAAGGAATGACAAAAGAAGAGTGCATTGAAGATCAGCTGGAAAGGGACGAACTGGTCCTCAAGTACGTCATCAAGCAAGTCGGTGAGATTTCAATACGCACTTTAGTGGACTATGTAAACGACAAGAACGCGTGTACAATTAATATACCACAGGTAAGTATTTCTCTGTCCTTGACACTCTTTATCAACTTCAGGACGCAATCAACATAATCGATTGTCTCATCAAAAACATAAATAAGACCGATTATGTCCTGCTTGGCGGAAAGGCGGCTTATATCAAAGAACCACTGAAAGACTACGAAAATCAAGGTTTTTGGATTTATCGTGGATTCCTTACGAGTTGTCGGCCGCAGTGGAAAGTCAGACTGAATATCGATATGGTGAGTTCCCTTCTCTAATCAGCATCTATCTACGCTAATAGCAGCAGCTATTATGTCTCAAATTATTAGGCTATGCGTACTCCAGCGGGTTGTAACAGTCGAGAGACTAGTTTGTTCTGTTGAGCGGTAGTGTAGCGTGTTTCTTACTCCACTAGGTACTGTGGAAGATGAGGGAGTGCGGTCGATGTAGTGCGAGTCTACTATCACATAAAACTAACTCATGCGCAAGTTATCGTCCCTGAACCAAGATATTTGTAGCATACGATTGGCATCATCGAAATCAATGGTCAAACTGTCGTAGTCTGTACTAGTTAAAAATCAGAAGCCGATTTAAAATATTTTAAGTAGCAAGAAGTTAGAGCAACAAATACTTCCTTAATATCGCGTAGGATTCCTACAAAGTGGTCGTCGTCTCCTTTTGAAGCACATTGGCAGTGTTCACTCAAGTGCCTTTAAAGTAAAGGTTGTGGACGTCCACGATGTTTCTGCAAAATGTCAGTCTGGTTTTCAGTCTTCTCGATTTGCTGTGTGTGCGCGCCGGTAGCCGGAACAACTTAATTTTCCTGGTTATTGACTATTTGGTAATCGTGCCCAGCCTGAACAAGTCATGGATAAGCCGACGATTCGTTAGAATGTGTTTTAAACCTGCAACTACTTGGCTGTATCTCATTTTTGTATGTAGAAGACCGTTTTTCTATGATTATATACTGTGTCGTCATCATTTTCTTCAATAGGTGTATCTGCACCTAAAAGACGACGATAACTGTATTTACGGCGTTCTACAAATCTGGCCTCGTTGATTTTCAGGTCTTCATCGAGATTTTCTTCCTCTAGCAACACATGTAATTTCGGAGAAGACTTCCCGGCAGGAATTGAACCAATAATCCACAGTATTTTAGACTCGATAAATAAGTTTTGGACCTTCTTCCAGCGACATTCTGTTGCTCTAGCGATAAACTGCCTCTAAAATGTCACAGAGCTGCAAATTACAGTCCATTCTTCCGTTCAA